TACAAGTGGAGCACTATTCTCAGACACTCCACAACTACCTCTCTTTCCTCTTAAATTTTTTGTTTGTTTGTTTTTTGACATAGGGTCTCACTATGTAATTCGGGCTGATCTGAAACTCATGTGATCCTCCTGCCTCAGCCTCCTGAGTGCTAGGATTGCATGTGTGCTACCATGCCCAGCTTCTTTCATCATTCTTGAGATAGGTTCACTATGTAGTCCAGGATGGCCTCAAACTCACAATCTTCCTACCTCAGCCTCTTGAGTAGCTGGGATTATAGCCATGCATGATAAATCCAGCTCCAATTTCAGTTTTATCTTACCTTACATGAATTAAGAGAAAATTTAAACTTCAATAAGTTGTTTAAAATCTTATTACTTCTCAATTCTAATTGTAGTAATTAATGTAAAAGCCTTAATTCTCAATGTCCTCAGTATCTATTAATCCGTAAACATGTCCAATAATAAAATTAGTAACACTATTGTGAAATATATACTCTATTTAGTCTTCCTCTCAATTTCCTGACAATTTCTAAAACCCTTGGAATCTTTTACTTATTCTCACTATATATATACAGGTGTATCTTGTACTGTAACTTCACTTGCAGCACTCTTCCTGCCTCAGTGCTGAAATTATGTTAACAAGATAACTGATGGCTGGGGACCAGTTATCCAAAAGACCAAGGCACAATTACAGGGTTGGGACTTTCAACCCTAACCCTCAGTCTCAAAGAAGTGAAAATGGTGAGGAAAGCTAAGCTGATACCAATGGCCAATGACATAATCAACCACAGTTAATGAAACTTCTGTAAAAACCCAAGAGGATAGGGTTCGGAGAACTTCTGAACAGTTCAGTATGTGAAGGTTCCCAGGGAGGGGATGGGAACTCTGTACCTCCTTCTCACATGCCTTACCCCATGCATCTCCTCCACTAACTATTCCTCTGTATCTTCTGTAGCACTGTCATAATAATCCAGTTAATGAGGAGCCGAATGTGGTGGCACACACCTGTGATCCCAGCACTTGAGAGGGTAAGGCATGAGGATCACTGCAAGTTCAAGGCCAGCCTGAGCTACACAGTGAGTTCAAGACCAGTTTGAACTAAATAATGAGATCCTGCCTGAAAAAACCAAACCAAACAAACAAATATATGCAAGCAAAGTATTTCCATAAGTTCTGTGAGCCATTCTAGCAGATTAATTGAACCTAAGGAGGGTTTCTTGAGAACCCCTCATTTACAGACAGCTGAGTCAGAAGTACAGGTCACAATCTACTACTTGTCATTGGCATTAAAAGTGCAGGGTGGTAAGGTTGGGGATTTAGCTCAGCGGTATAAATGTCTGCCTGGCAAGCAAGAGGTCTTGAGTTTGATCCGTGGTACAAAAAAAAAAAAAAAGCGCAGGGTGGGATGGTCTTATGAAGTTGAATCCTCACCCCATGGGATGTGATGCTATCTCCAGGCAGCCAGTGTCAGAACCAAGTTGAACTAGAGTCCAGCCAGCTACTGTTTATTAGAGAAGTGCATGGTGTGCAGAGAAATAACCCTGACACCCACCTGAGCAGGGCTCAGAGAGCAGAAGCAACACTTCAGTTTCATTTTCTTTTCCCTTTTGCATTAGTCTTTTCCCTACCCTTTTCTTTCCTTACTTAGCCAAGCTTATTAAATATATTTGTGTCTTTATTACTTGATTTCTGGGGGTTTCAAATGGCATTTGAGACACTCTTTGTTAATAGAGATAAGAAAACAATTTCTCATTGTTACTCTAATCTGCCTTCTCCTACCAACTTCTGTCAGTTAAGTCATTTGTGTAAACAAAATCAATACATTCACACTCTGTTGTACCACCATATTCTCACAAACGCTTAGCTTTAGTCTACAATCAAAAGTTCTATGCTCACTGCTAGCCCTTTCACTGTAATTTTTCCAGTCATATCTTGATGGCTGGACTCTGTCCTCTATTAGGTTCTTCAGAAGCTCTTGAGAACCATGGTTTTCTATAATTATAAATTCAAAATGGTCTGTTGGGGATATAGCTCAGTAGTAAAGCACTTAGTTCAATCCCCAGTAACACACACACACACACACACACACACACACACACACACACGGTTGAGTTGAGTGTGGTAGCACAGTCTTGTGATCTCAACACTCAGGAGGCTGAGGCAGGAGAATCTGAAGTGTGAGGCCAGCCTATGCTACATACTGAGTATAATGCTAGCCTGGATTACGTAGCAAGACCTGTATCAAAAAATACAAAAAAGTTTGTTCCTTTTATAACTTGAATTGTAATATAACATTTTGAGGTTACTTTTTTTTCTTCTTCTTAAGAATGTTTTTGAAGCCCCGTATTGTTCTCACCATCTTGTTTTGAGTGATTTTACTCTATTCTGTTGTTTGACATTATCAATTTTGAGGGTATAGCCAAGTACTTTGAAGGCAATAAGATTCACTATGATGCCCACCCTGTTTGATTATTTTCTTCTTTTGAAGTTCAGTAATGACTCCAATGTTTAGGTTTTATTGTTTTTTTTCTGTACTGTTATGTTCAATTTCATTATACCTGATGATATAGGCAATTCTTTTTAAGGTTGCAAGGGGCATTATGGTAACCATTCTTGATTACCTGGTATTCTGTTTTTACATCATGTACTATGTCCATTCTTTGTTTTGACCAAGTCTGCTTTGTTTTGTCACATTTGGTTTTATTCTCTTCCAAAAAGAATAATAACTGTGGGAGTAATAAAACCCAAAATGTTTAAATGTTATTGTAAAAAAGAGAGGAAAAGAAAGTGCTCTAGTGGACACAACTGCAAGTGTGTTTAGGTGTGTAAGATAGATGACCATATTATTAAGTTTTTGTTGGATCATTGAACACAACTGTTTGCAGTCTCACTGTTTGAATGTCCATTTTGTATGCTTTAATTTTGTAACTTGATCAACTATTTCTAAGATGACAATATGTAATTTATTAACTAGTGATTTCTTACTGTTTATTTTTTTTGAAATTCTGTATTACTTGTACCCTTTTACTGTTTTCTCTTTAAATTAAAAAAAAAAAAGAAGACTGTTTTACAAGTGTTGCTTTACTTTTTTTGATATGGAAAAAATCTATGCCCAGTCTGAATTTTTCCCTTCATCTTTGACTGGCCACTGAAGCAAGCAAGCTTGCTTTTCTTTTCTTTCTTTCTTTCTTTCTTTCTCTCCCTCTCTTTCTCTCTCTCTCTCTTTCTCCCTTCCTCCCTCTCTCCCTCTCTCTCTCTCTCTCTCTCCCTTTCTCCCTTTCCTTCCTTCCTTTCTTCCTTCCTTTCTCTCTCTCTCTCTCTCTCTCTCTCTCTCTCTCTCTTTCTTTCTTTCTTTCTTTCGACACCGGATCTCGCTTTTTAATCCAGGCTAGCCTCAATTTGCAGCAATCTACCTGTCCCAGTGTCCCAAATGCTAACATTATAGGCATTCACCACCACACCTGGTTCTACCAAAGCATTTCATTTGTTTGTTTGTTTATCCTGTACTGTAACTTCACTAGGATATGTTCCAGTGTTAACCATTCTGAAACAATTTTCTGAGACATAGTACTCCTTTTTCTGTACTTAGATTTAAACTTTTTATTATTCCAGGGAAATAGAAGTTTTAAAATTGTATCTTTTCATTTTCTTCTCATCCTTTTATTTTTACTCTGCCCATTCAAAGGACCTAGAATAAAAGTCCCATAGTAGCATGAAACATGTAGCACACAGATTATGATCTCTGAATATTACTCATCACTAAAATAAATATAAGCACCTTACAGTAACCACTGGTTCCAAGTCTAAGACAGAAAAAAAATCAAGATGATCCTGGAATGTCCTATACTAGGGGAGGGAGAGAGGGAAAGTAGACACATACTCTAATTTTCTTTGTGCCTCTTCCAAATAATGATAGTGACACATTTTAATCTATTCTACACAGGAAGAACAAAGTCAAAGTGACACATCACAGAAGATACAGCAAGTAAAGCTTTGTTAAATTTTTTTTTTTTTAATCGGTACCAGGGATCGAACTCATGACTGCCTGCTTCCAAGGCAGGCGCTTATGCCGCTGAGCTAAACCTCCAGCCCCAAAGCTTTGTTAATTTTTAAAAAGCCGAACACATTTGAATACTCAAATTCATGATCATGCATCTCCTTCCATATCCTCCATGTGACACTACTGAGCTGCTTTAACCATATTAACTATTTCTATAGTTTTAGTTTTGTGAATAACTTCTTATAGCAAATTGCTTCCTCATCTGAAAATTTTTTTCAGATGAACAATTAACGTCTCAGGAGTTGGCAAATTGGGGCAGGCCATATTATTTTTGTAAACAAAATTTCATAGGAAGGCAGACACATCCTTGCTTCAAGCATGGTCTAAGGCTGCTTTTGCGCTACAATGGCATGCTGAGAAGTTCCAATAGACAAGGTATGGTGCACAAAGCCAAAAATACTCTCTGACCCTCTACAAAGCAAGGTTACTGCTCCTGTGGTAATTCTTGATTCATGTCGGCTATATTCCATCTTTTCATACCACAAAGCAAAACAAAACAAAAAACACCTTTTGTCTTGATTTACTAAAGTCCAGCCCAACAGAAAGAATGTGTTCAGGTGAAACCTTAAATCCAAAGCTAGGGAGGAGATCTTGGTTTTGCCTTAGGTGAGGTTTCCTCACCTAAAGTGAAAGGAGTTCAGAACAGTAAGAAGAAATTGCTCTGTTCTTTGACTAAAGCAAACTAAATGCTTTGTTTTCCAAATTAAATATCTTTAGTGTTTTTTAAAAAAAATTTTTTTTGAAAGGGTCTCGCTTTGTAAACCAAGCTGACCTTGAACTCACAATGTAGTCTAGGCTGGGCTCAAACTCACTGTGATCCTGCTGTCTTGGCCTCCTCAGTACTGGGATTGCAGACATGTGTTACTGGTAACTCTTGGCTTTCGTGGCTAACTGAGCTTGGCTACAGTATTTTTAAATTAAACATTATTTGGCTCCTTACTTCTGAAAGCAAATCCTCGAGAGATACAGGGTCCATCTTACTGTAGACATTCCACAGATTCAAACTCACATCCTGCAGCTGCATAAAGGACAAAAACATAGAAATAAATTAAGTCAATGTTGTTGGGCAATCTGAATTATTTTCTAATGTTCAGACATTATAATCCTCATATAAAGTCAGTATGATTATTATACTGATAATATAATAAACCATTACTAATAATTATATTACCAATTATTAATTGTATTAGAACCTACAAATACTAATAAGCACGTTCCCACTCAAGGAAACTATTTATTTCAGAACCTTTGATATATCCTTTGATTATTATCTATAATAGCACATATACTTGGAAGGGTTTTGGCCCAGACAGGACACTGTAACCAGTGAAGCCAAGGAGCTCCTATCTCCCCCTCCCCTAGGAATCTACCTCTGGCGCCAAAGACCAATGGGCTGCTTGGGCATCCCTAATGCCCCCCTAGGTTCCACCCCAAACCGAGGCTACTTATGTGCCTCACTCCACGTGTTCCATGGAGAGATCGCCGACCCCGGGGTGGAGATGCCGTGCCCCTAGGGGGCTCGGGGGTGTCTCTCCCCACATTCTCAAAATAAGGTCATTTATATTTCATACTTATCTTTTCAGCCGCCATCGGTCCCCCAAAGTTCTATCAATACTAAAACATACTATCTATACATGCATAAACACATGTATATATACTATGTATACTTTGCCTTTGTGATAAAATTCTAATCAAAATAATGTATGTACATGATTTTAAAAATCAAACAGTAAAAAATATTTGTAATAAAAATCTTTAAATCCCTATTCCAGTGATGGCAAACTTTTTAAGTGACTGGGTACCCTAACTCCAACCCAAAACCTACTTACTTATTGCACTTCCAACACTGCAATTAAACTTGAATACTGAGGTTTTAGTTCAGAAAAACAACTCGTACATTACAAGAAAACTGTAACAAATGAGCTTTCAATGATAGTCTGCTGTGGTAGGTGTGCCATAGGTTTCCCACTACTTCATTTCAACCTTTCACAACTCCGAGACATTAATCTCGCACCTCAGAAGCAACTAAAGTTCTTAATATCTTTTTTAGTTTAGTTTTGTTTTTTTAACTTTCTATGTGGCACAGTGCCTGCCTGGCAAGCATGAGGCCCTGAATTAGATTCTCAGTACAAAAGAAAGAAAGAGGGAGAAAAACAGACGGACAGATAGAAAGATTTGTATTAGTACATGTTTACAGTACAGTACATGCAGTTTACAATCATCTTGGGGAAGTGGGTATGTATATAATATAGTTTGTTTCCTTTTTTTTTTTTAATCCCCCTCCCTCCTTCCTCCTTAATTTCCTTATCCTGATTTTTCATTCTTGTTGATTTTGTTCACTTTAGCTCATGTTTAGCATATAACGTTTACATTCACTGAGGTTACTGGGTTCCTATGAGTTTTTTGGTATTTATCTCTGTACTTGGATATAATATGCTTCTATAGCTATTTTTAGCAGTTAAATATTAACTTATGGCAAACACGCTGCTCTTTTACATTCATCTCCATTCTCACTTTTTCTCTACACACACCATCAAATATCAATCACTATTTTTGCTACATCACTGGTTTATAACACTAACACCATGTAAAATATTATTAAGTACATATTATATTCATTTGATTTTTTGTTTCTACTTTTCTTAGAAGCATTAACAGCTTCATTTTTTTCACATGCAAGTTTTTTTTTAAAACAAATCAATCCTAATCTCTTTTTTTCACAGCCTCACCCAGTTTCCTTCTTAGAGGGTTCCTCCACAGCGAAACTGTCATTGGGGTCTGATATTTCTTAGCTGTGTGGAGCTGGCCCTGTGTATTGCAGAATTCTTAGCAGTATTTAGTTCTCTATTTACTACATGTGTATAGCCCCACCCTTATCCTGAAAGCCAATCCAAAAATACTTGTAAACACTGTCAAATCTTTGGGGTAGGAGAGGGAAAATCATCTCCACCTGAAATTTGATTTATGTGTACCAAATAATCCATCAATTTCCTTTCTTCCACTGGCTTCACTCTGGTCTGCAAGCTTGCCACACAGCTGCAACTTGCATTTTGACACTTCTCTTTGCTAACATTCTAGAGCTTGTGGATGACGGATTTTGGTTTCCTGGCTTATCTCCTCTTTCTTGGTTAAAATTACCTGGTTTGTTGAAGCACACCATCCAATTCTAAGAAAGGGTTAATAGGAAATAAACTTTTTTTCCTTCAAGATGGACTGATAGCTCGCTGATGTTTTCTTTTTCTTTTCTTTCTTCTTTTTTTTTTTTCCTTTTTGGATTCTTTATTCTTTTTATGCTTCTTTTTGGATAATTTCTACTGCTATGGCTTCAAATTCACTAATCTTTTCTTCTGTAGTATCCAATCTGCTACTAACCTCAGCTGTGTTGTTTTTGTTTGTTTAAGACAAGGTCTTGCTATATTGATCAAGCTGACCTTGAATTCACAATCCTCATGCCTCAGCCACCCAAACAGCTGCGTTTACAGGTATGTACCACTGTATCCTGCTTCAGATGGTATATTTTTCTTTTCAGATACTGTATTTTTCATCTATAGAAGTTTTGTTTTTTGCAGTACTAGAAATTGAACCTAGGACTTCTGCACTAAGCTATATTTCTAGCGCTTAAAAAAATTTTTTTTGAGTTAGGGCTTCATTAAATCTCTAAGCTACACAGCACAGGCTCAAACTTGTGATCTTAGTATATGTGCTGCCAAAATGAGCACAAACTTGTGAATCTCTTGTCTCAGCCCCCAGAATGCTGAGATTAGAGAAATGCAACACCATACCTAATTCTTGCTTCTTTTCGACCTGATAGTCTATGGATGTCAAACACTGTGAATATTATCCGTTAAGGTCCTAGATATTTTTGTGCGCCAATAAACAGTCTCATGTTTTGTTCTGGGATGCAATTATTTGGAAACACTTTGACCCTTTTGGAATCTGCATTTTTATCAATTATTGGGAGGATCTGAAGCAGTGCTGATTATTCCCCATGTCCTGAGTACTGTGCCCAATGCCCTCTGAATGTTTTTCCAGTCTGAGGGGTAGAAATAGGTACTATTCTCAGCCCTGAGCACACATGAGGCACTGTCCTTTAATTTTTCAGATGGATTGTCCGTTGGCTTCAAGTAGTTACCTCACACACAAGTACATTCCACATAGGGTTGGGGACTCACTGCAGTTCTGAGTTCTCATCCTGCACAGTCCTCTTCTCTTTAGTACTCTGCTGCCTTGGTGTTCTGAAGTCCCCAGCTGCATCTCCCAACTCAGGGAGTGTACCAGGCTCTAATTGGGTACACTCTCCCTATGCATGGTGTGGAAATATTCTCAAAATTGCAAGCAAGAGCAATTCTGAGGTTGACTTGTTTTCATCTCGCAGGGAGTCACTAATCTTCTGTCTGATGCCTAACTTCATGAAAAATCATTATCTCACATATTTTGTTTGGTTTTGTTTTTTTGCTTTGTTTTGTTTTTGATTATTTCAGGAAGAAAAACCTAGTGTCTATTGTCTATTATTTGTTCATTCAGGGTGAAGGTGACAAATGTCTGATTGCCTGACAATCTCAGGGGGAAGGAAAAAGAGGCAAAGGGACTGTACAGGTTATTACATAATAATTGCCACTTAATTCCTTCAATTTCTGTATCATCAATTTCCTGTCTCTGTTCTACCTTTTATCATCTTTTCCCACACTGATTTAACCTAATTCCTTTCCTCCATATTCTGGAATAGCTTTAAAAATGTTATCTAATTAAATTTGGGGGGAGAATGGATGTGTCTAGCTTTGAATGCAAATTTTAATTCTTTTATAAATTCGGAGACTTACGATCTTCCACCTCCCTTCTTTTATGGTACTGGTGATTGAACTCAGTAGTAACTTGTCTAGCATGCATAAGGACCTGGGTCCAATCTCTAGTACCGGGAAAAAAAAGTGGTATGAAATTGTAAATATCTACAGTTGTTTTTTTCTAAGTCCTCAGAGGAGGAAAGAGACTTTCTGATACAGGCGATCATCAGGCTATCAGATTGGAGGGAAAGAACGCTGGCAGAACCGATCTGCAGAACTGGTCTGCTCTGCACCTTCAAGTACAAGGAGGGATGCGGTAAAGAAGAGAACTAAGATGGGGAAGGAACAAAGAGGAGACAAAAGGGAAATACTGGAAGTATAAAAACAACAGCTACATAAGAAGTCAGAAGCTAGGCCAAGGGGTTTTGACAGAAGACTTATAATAACTATACCTGTGTTGTTTCTTCCCTATAACACATCCTACTCCCTGAAAGTACTATCCTACAGCAAAGCTCTACATTGCCCTTCACAGGCTTAATGGGGAGATTTTGTTCCTTGTGAATGTGACTTCATGGTGCAGGAGTCAGAATGCCTGTCTTGCTTGTGCTGCATCAGCTGTGCAGCCTCCTAGCTCACCACTGCCCAATACTGCTGGCTACAGTCCACGGGCGAGGAGCATAGGCCCTGAAGCCAGATCATCTGGATCTTACTTCCGCCCTGTTACTCACTAGCTCTATGGTTCTGGAAAACTCACTTACCTCCCTGTGAAAAAGAGATGTAAAACATTGCCTATTCAGAGAGTTGTTTTAAGAATTAAACCAGACACTTCATACAAAGAGTGTACAATAATATCTGTCATATAGCCACTCTATAGATGCTTAGTTAACACAATTAATTAAAAATAAATATAACCATTATTTTAAAAATGTTAATGTTCCTCTCAGCCCCCGTGGCCTGTCTCCCTTTAAGCTCCTTCTCTTCTGAAATGGATAGCATTACTTCTTGTGGCACATTCTACAGCCTAGCTAGTATTCTGCTACTTGGAGTCACAGTACTGCTCTTTGAGAACAAGCAAAGAGAAGTCCAAGTGGTAGCTTCCCTCCAGCCTATGCTGCCCTACAATGGTGTGCTGTGGCCCTTCTAGGCAGGTACTTCCCCGGTCATTTTCTAGGGAAGCTGGTGCTTCTCAGAAGGAGGGACAGGAATTAACCCGATGCCTTGCTTCCAAAGGTGCCACTTACTCTCTCTCTAAGATGTTCTTATTTCTAGTATGGAAATGCTGTCCTTGCCTGGTTTTCTATGCTGGGGCTGGCTGAATTCCTGAGGCTCCTACGAGACATATGGATGCCTGTGGTAGTGCTGCTAACCTACCAGGCCAACCTCCATGATCTACTCTACATGACTCCCCTCTCATACTCACTCACTAATTCACTTAATAATAATTGCTAGTCATTTCCTAGATGAGATAACTACTGAAATAAAAGATATTATTCTTTATTTTTCCCTTTTCTAAAGATATTCTTCTTGCTGCAAAAACTAACCATTTTATTTCCTCCAGTACTCTGTATTTATACAAGATTCTATACTGTCCCTTTCACAGTGCTTCAATAGTCCTCAAATTATATGAATTTCTAAGGTACAAACAATAGCAATAACAAGGCTATTTTTCTATTCAAGAAGCTTGCAGTCCAGACAGTAGGGCCAGGTGGCTAGGTGAAGCATGTATGACAAATGCACAGAAACAGGATGATAAAATTTTAAGAGAACTGCCTCAAGTGTCAGAGGGGTAGAGAGAACAGTTAACTCAGATTGGGGAGCATGGGGAGGAGCTCCAAGAAGACAGTACAAGAGGGCTAAATTGGAACCAGCCTTAGACAGCAACTGTTTTCTATTTCAAGTCTTTTAACTTGCTCCTTGCCCTTGGGAGGTTACTGTCAACTTTTCAGAGTGTCATTATAATGGATATTCACTTTGTTGGCTTTTTACAAAAACAGCAACAAAAACCAAACATACGGCTTTTCACACATACCTCATATTTCATGGTAAAAAACCCATCTCCTCCAATGCCTTCAAGGGCGAAGGCTTGTACAATTGGCCATTTCTCTACCACAAACATATCAAATATCTGCAAGTGACCTAGAAGAATCAAATACAACAATACGTATCAAACGCCATCCTGGATATAACAGTCTAATCCTGATCTAATGTCGTTAGATGGGCATCATTTCTCACAAGTTCACCAAGGTCTCATATAATAAAATAAATTTCAAACAGATGAAACAGATACTGAAACAAGAAATAAAATGTAAAAGCCAAGACAAATTCAAGCCATAAACAAGTTAGTTGCATAACTTAGATTTCTCTACAGTGTGTTTTCATATTTTGGCTTCCCAAGTAAGTAACTATGTAAAAAATAAGTAAATAGCAGTCTGTTACAACTGACTTACATCATTTACCAAGTATAATTATTAACAGACTCATAGTGGGCTCCTTTCCCTTAGGAAATACAGCCAACCAACTTCCTCAAAGGAAACAACCAAATCAAAAATCTTGCTTTCTTGTAACAATAGCTTCAATATGCAAGGCTTTCCCCCATAAATCCTGCTAAACTTGTTAATTTTTTCCTGTATTCCACACATCATTTTTGAACCTCACCATCAGCATATTTTTAAATGGCTATCCAAATTACTAGTTTTATTACCAAGCCAGACATGGTAGCATACATCTGTAATCCCGACACTTGGGAGGCTGAAGCAGGAGGACTGCTGTAAGTTTGAGGCCAGCCTGGGCTACAAAATAAGTTCAAGGCCAGTCTGAGCTGCACGGTGAAACCTTTTCTCACAAACAAACAAAAACTCACAAAAATAATACTATCGAGTTTTACTATCAAGAGATTTCATATCTATTCTCTCTATATTAGTGATACAGTCCAGGTGGTAACTGTGCTAAATCCTTTATCAATTTTTCTACCTGATCATTGGTGGCTTGCTGGTTTGCTGTGCAACTCCATGGTCATGAATAGCTTATTCAGGAATGTTCCCAAATGTTATCCTATTAGATGCTCTGCCTCTGTAAAAATGAATCATGGGGTTTCCTAGCTGAATGTTTCCAATAAAAGTAGGGTGCCTGGGATCACATATTATCCATGCGAGGTCCCTAAATGCCTTGCTGTCACACACTCACCATGGGAGCTGTAAGGGATGCCAATTCTGCTACAGTCTCTAACCATATCCACGAAGCTGGAAATTTTAAACTCCTCTGCAGCTTCCTCATCTTCATACTGAAGAGAGAAATTGAAAGCAAACAGGCTCTGATTATACATCACATAATGCTCCATGTTTTCTCTGTACTTCACCAGAGTTGTCCTAAATGGCATTTATATGTAATGTTTTCAGAGCAAATCTATTATATTTACCGGTTAGAAATACATGTCACTTCCTTATCTCAGATCATATACAAAAATCAACTTAAAATGGATCAGGAAACCTAAACACAGGAGATCAAACTTATCTCCCCAAATCTCCCAAATTCTCAACATGGAAAAAAAAGTTCCTTGAGTAATACTGGATATGACTTCCATGAAATCCAAAATCTCAAGTCCCATTTTGACCTTCAGTCAAACCCTTAAAAAGGACCCAAAGGGAAACAGAAACAGAAACCCAAAGACAGGAATGTTACAAAGTATAAAAAAATTCTCCAAGTGCAGTCCCTAGGCACCGATACTGAGGGACTGGGCTCAGGCTGGTAAACACAGCACAGCAGGAAGCAGGTTCACAAGCCTACTAAATTTCTTTTTTTTTTTGGTCTTTTTTTCTTTTTATCGGTACCGGGGATGGAACTCACGACTGCCTGCTTGCAAGGCAGGCGCTTATGCCGCTGAGCTAAATCCCCAACCCCTTAGCCTACTAAATTTCAATCTGAACTCCCCACCCTCAGTCTCCAGCAGGCAAATAATCTGTCTGAAAAGTAGCTTCCATATTGAAATGTGAAACTTTCCTCTTAAAGAACTACTTTTAATAAGTAACCATACTCTACAATTTGATTTCTTTATGAGCTTCTCTTTATAAACCAACTTTCCTTAAAGAAGTGCCTGTTCTATCTTTTCTCCTCACCTCATTTTCAGTCATGCAGTAGAAATGCAGATTTCTCCAATGTGCCACATAGGGTAAGAGATAGCGATAGTTGACAGGATTACAGTACAGGTGAACACTATCTGATTTAATCAACATAATTACATCTGTAAGAAAACAAAGTCAAAAGGCAAGATTGTCATAGGCTTTTCCTTTAGACGTTTTCTGCCCAGAAAATCAGTGAAACTATTAAGGGGTAGGGAGGTAGATCAATGGACGAACACTTGCCTAGCATGTGCAAGGGACCAGATTCAATCCATCCCCAGCTCTATACATATACACACACACACTCACTCTCTCTCTCTGTCTTTCTCTCTCTCTAATTGAAACTTCAGAAACAATGTAACAAAACTGCAAACAGAAAATTATTTAATCAGGCAATATGCTTCCAAGTGACTGGAGAACATTCAAGTATTGACAGAGAATTTCCTAGTCTCTCTGCGATGTTTCCACTACCACAACTCTCTCGTTATGGCAATACAGGCACAAAACGGGTCAAAAGAACAAGTTTTAGCTACTGAAACACAGTGCTTTGCAAAGTCCAACAGAGTAAATCTGTTGTATCAAACACAGCTGTGTACTTCACTGCCCAGATACTGTAAATACCAAATAGAAATCCCATGACCTAAAGCCACTAGGGAAGGAAAAAAAGAGCATGAACTATGGCCGATGACTATTCTTCCACAGACATCAGCACCTGGGCCACTGGCTCACTAAGAGCCTAGATACCGCATTGTCAACTTTGGGAAGAATTGTGTATGGCAGTGAACTCTGTACAGGAAAGGCAGGCAGGAAGGAAGGAAACAGAAACAAGTTGAAATAGCTTCTGTAAATAGACTAGCAGCTGGCAAATTCAAGGAACACTGGGGGGTCAGGTAAACAATACAAAGGGTGCAAATAAGCCTAAATTAACAGAAGAGTCACAAAATGGAGAAGGAATATTAAAATAGTCAGAAAAATAGAAACAAAAAATGAAAGCAAGGGCCAGAGATACAGCTCAGCAGCACAAACGCCTGCAAACGTGAGGTTGTGAGTCCAAACCCCAGTACCTCCCACCAAAAAAAAAAAAAAAAAAAAAAAAAAACCAAATCAAAAAACAGAAAGCAGTCATATCAAGAAAAGCAAAACAGAGCTTCATTCCACGGGTCATCTGAGACCAGAGCTACCAGGCCTCTTTCTAACAAGATAAAGGTAAAAGTTGCTGGAGAAGGCAGCTGAAAGTAAGAAAGATATGGAGGAAGAGAAGCACCTGGCGTAACAGGTTTAGGGCAATTCCAACCCAGCAGTACACTGTGACAAACCACACTTCCTGGAAACAAATTATGCATGTGCAAGGGACTAACCCAGTGTATACTAACCTCAGCTGAGCACACAGCTGGGTGATCTCCTGAACAAAGCTGGGAAAATGACTTAACAAAGTGCTAACTCAAAGGGCAGCAAAGAGTAGAAAGGGTGGTGCCTCTCACCTCCGGGGCTTCTGGGCCATCAGCTCAAGACCCCTGTCCTAAATCACTCACAGAACTACCATTCTCAGAATCTTGACACACTCTGATGTCATCATCATAAACATAACTTTAACAGAGTATACAGTCAGATAAAGAAGAAAATACAAGAAACTGAGATTGCAAAAGATTTTTAGTTTCTTTTAAAAAAATAAACCCCTTGGAGCTTGGGATATAGATAACTCAGAGGCAAAGCACCTTCCTGGCAAATGCAAGGTCCTGAGTTCGATTCCTAGTACCCAAAAAATAAATAAAGTAAGTCCCTCATGTTGGCTTTTCCCTCTCACATAATTGGATATTAAAATGCAGAAGTGTATTTCTGATGTTTCAGCTTTCAAATTATTTGGGTTTAAAGATGAATTTATTAATTTGTAAGAAATGTTCATTTGCTAAGTACCCATTGCACCATGTTACAGAATAAAGACAAAGTCAAAAAAGCACTTCTCTGAGAATTTAAACTATTTCCTTATTTTCAGTAGTGTAAAGTCCTTAGCAACCTTAGCTGCAGTGAAATGTGTAGTTAGTATAGATTGCCAAGATAATTCATTCCAAAACAGCAGATACTGTATAGCATAAGGAATCAACATTTTAATGAAAATCTAAATTAAATCAGAATTGAAGAAATTTAATGGGAAGAGTAATTTCAGTTAATTTTCTGTACTTTCTAATGAAAAGGAGAATTTTGATCAGTTATAAGGATAAATACTATTAGGATTGTAAAACAAGAATTTTCACATATACTAGCTCAGGGTTTCTTAAACTTGATACTATTGACAGTATGAATCAGGAAATTCTTTGTCATTGAGGGCCGTCCTCTGCCTTATGAGATGTTCAGCAGCATTCCTGACCCCTACCCAGTAGATGCCAGTAGCACCCCATCCCGTTGTGACAATAAAAAATGGCTTTAGACACTGCCAAACTTCTCCCAGGGAACAACACCAAATTCAAGCAAGACCATTTCACATCAGATGTCTGCTTGCACACTCTCCTAGCCGCTTCACAAGAGCTTTTTGTCTCCTGTACAGTTTTATTTGCCTGTTCCTATGTATCCTGACCTATCTGGCAGACAAGCAATGATGCTAAGTCTGTGACATCAGAGACAACTTCTGGGTAACAGCCCACTGTAGCACCAACACAGGCAGTGTCTCAGAGCTGTGGAAAGGGAATGTAAGCAGAAAGCCTGCATTGTAGTCAGAGGCATTGCCATGAATTAAAGTCACACAGGAAACAATTCCCAAAGGCAGCTGAGACAAAGAGCCTTTGTTCCACAACTCAGGACCCATAGGCAGTCTTCTTGTAGGCACAGCCTGCAGGCTCATCCTTGCACCACAACTGAACGCGCTTTCACTGGACACTAGCAGGGAATCTGAACCCTCAGCATATAGAAGCAGCATTATGAGGAAAACTAGTGCCTTACCAAAAAGAGATAAAGCCAAACACTGATGCATACTTTCTTCCCCAAAGCTGATTTACCCTGTAAATGTATTGTGAATGTTACTTGTTGTTAGTCTATCATCCTATCAGTGACCAACAGACACATATTAACACATAAAAAAATGTAACTTTTCACTGTTATAAGGAAAATATTAACCAGGCATGCAGACACACACATTCTGAAAGGCTTGGCTAGAAGTGTCCCAAGTTCAAACCCAGCATGGGCAAAGCAAAGACTTTACAAGATCTTGCCTCTAAGTGAATAAATGGGGCTGGGGATACAACTCGGCATGAAGGCTCTAAGTTCAATCCACTGGGACTCTGGACTATTTTAAATCTGATGTCATCCTATAAGAATAAAATGAAATAAAGATCTAAAGAAATGAACCATCTGCTCCTCTATCAAATAGTTTACCAATATACAATAGACTTACCATCTAGAACTTCTTCAGAAAATCCTGTTTTCTCAAAATCACTGGTATTCTGATTATATAAACCAAACAGAAGATAATTTGCCAGCTCTTTGCAGCCTTCATTGTATCTGCTATCAATTCCTGTAAGACAAAGGATCAGCTGTACTGTACAGTGACATATAAGTGAACCCCAATAATTTGCCTCAAAATCCTTATAGTCAGAGATGCATATGGTGGTGCGCACTTGGAATGCCAGCACTCAGAGACCAAGGTAAGAGGATGACCACAAGTTAGAGGCCAGCACAGACTACACAGTGAATACAAGGCCAGCCTCAACTGCACAGAGAGACTGTTACAAAAACAACAACAAAAACATAATGGCCAAAGGCAGCAGCTCTCAGACCAATTTTGTGCTAAGGAACTCCGTAAAACAAACCATCTAAGCCATCAGTTATCCTTCTTAGAGCCTAAGATCTGTATGGAAAATCAAATGGCACACATTAATGAAGCCCTTCATGTCTCAAAAGTAAATTTTTTTTGTTACTGGGAATCGAACTCAGGACCTTGTTGGTTGCCAGGAAGGTACTGTGCCATTGATCTATATCCCTGGACCTTAAAAAACAATTCTTTTTTTTTTTTTTTTGGGTCTTTTTCGTTTTTTATCGGTACCGGGGATCGAACTCACGACTGGCTGCTTGCAAGGCAGGCGCTTATGCCGCTGAGCTAAATCCCCAGCCCCTTAAAAAACAATTCTTAAGGATAAAAAGAACCAAAAAAAAAGGTCCAAGTCTTTCTATGGTTTATTAATGATCTTAGAACACTTAGAATTAGCTTAACAATAGAGATCAGCAACATATTCACCTTTCTAAAAGATTTTTACCAAAACATGGAATCAAGTAAAGGCAAATTAAAGTGGTATGGAAAGAACTCAATCATGAAGAAAGGAACAAGTGGATGAAACCACAAATACACATCTCTTCACAAAGTACCAGGAACAAGGCTCAGTACAGTTCCAGATGCTGTCTGCAAATGGCCCTCCCAAAGCTTACACTCCAGTGCAGCTGTGTCAGAGACAAATAAAAAGGAAGTGAAATGAAACAGCCTTTTCCATTGCTTCTTTTTTTTTTTATTTAAGGAGAAAAAAGAAAAAAAAACAGAAAAAGGGTACAAGTTATACAGAATTTCAGAAAAAATAAACAGTAGGAAATCACTAGTTAATTACATATTGTCATCTTAGAAATAGTTGTTGAAGTTACAAAATTAAAGCATATAGAGGGCACTTTCAAACAGTGAGACTACAAATAGCTCTGTTCAATGATCCAACAAAACTCAGTAATATGGTTATCTATCTTATACACTTAAATATATATGCAGTTATATCTTTTAGAGAACTTTCTTTTCCTTTCTTTTGTACAATGACAATTACACATTTTGGGTTTTATTACTCCCACAGTTCTTATTACTTTTTTTTTTTTTTTTTGAAGAAAGTAAAACCAAATGTGACATACCAGGACAGAGTCAGTCAAATCAAAAGGATGGACATAATACATAATGTAAAAACAAAATACAAGGTGATCAACAATGGTTACCATAATGCCTCTTGTTATCTTTCTCCACTGCTTCTTAAAACTTCATGTATATATACTACCTGGTTTTACCTGTGAAGTCCCAGAGATATAGTTCTGGGCAAGAAGCAAGTGTCAAGGGCAGGAAATAGTTATCCATGAGAGACTAAGAGGAAAGGACTGGGGTAAAAGGAGCTCCAGGAATGATAAGGGGGGCCATATTTCACCTTTCAAAGAGGTTATCCAACCTCATTAAAACAGCAACAGCTACTGGGAGAATGAGAACTAAGGGAGGATACTAACTCACAGTATATCGTACAAGGACCCTATTGACAAGAATCCAAGTTCCCCAGCCCTAGGTCCTACCTTGTGAAAACTACTCACCTAGGATGCAGAGGATTCCGTCAGGCCGAGACTTGCTGCTCTGGGTCAGGATGCTCTGAACCTGGCGGAGTCGACTGCAGCTGCAAAAAGAACAGAAAACAGTTTCCTGACTCAGATCCTACAGTGAGGCACAAGGAAGAAAAATAACTTTGCTAGTTGTTCACTGGTGCTACTATCAGAAGTATAAGATGAATTGGGAAGGATTCTCTTCTCCTTTATTTTCTGTAAAAGATTGAAGAATTAGTCCAAACTGCCTTATTTTTTTTAGAGACTGGGTCTCACTATGTAGCCTGGGCTGGCATCCAATTTGAGGCAATTCTGTCCTAGTCATCCGGCTTGAACTAGTAACATCTGGATAGCCAGTGGCTTTTGGGCTCAACAGACAATAGAGCCAAAGATCATCTCAGGGTCAGTCACTCCACAGCCAACTCCAAGAACTTCTAATGACTTCCTTCTGTGTATGTGTGCATAGTGGTGATGGTGGGGTACTTGGGGACTAACCCTAGAGCTTTCATATTGAGCTTATACTCCTAGCCCTTTTAAATTTTGAGACAGGGTCTTGCTAAACTGTCTCAAACTGTCAGGTTGGACCTGAACTTGTGATCCTGCTGTCTTAGCCTCCCAAAGTGCTGGAATTATAGTTATGCACCTTTGCACTTAGCCCAAAATTTTAATGATTTTTAAAGACACTCCATACCAACTTGTCCTTACTATGCTTCTCACAAGCCCCTCAAAAACAAAAACAATGGGTTGGGGATTTAGCTCAGTGGCATAAGCGCCTGCCTGGCAAGCATGAGGTCATGAGTTCAATTCCCAGTACGGTGTGAGGATGGGGGAACAAAAACAAAAAATGAGTCAAAAATAAAACTGACCCAAGGACCTAAACAAATTCTAAGTCATCCTCACAGCTACCCTGATAGAGTGCTAGCAGAGGATACTTGCTTCCATTTCTGTGCAGAACTATTATTCCTTCAGCCTTCGGGATACCTCCTTGTTCCCACACAAATTTTAGGAAGGGTACTCCCAGACTATACAGTTTCTAAGTTTCTAAGGGTCCCTTTCTCTCCACATCAATCCCTTCTCCTTTCCATCAGCTCCAAAGAGGGTCACCCAATTTCCTGTCCAAGTCTGACCCTTTGATCCTCCTACCTGGTCTTCTTTTCACTTTCAGATCAAAGACCCAGCCCTGCTATGCAATCCCTAATAGTCCTTGCATTTAATCTTTTCCTTAAGAGTCAACACAGTCCCAACCTTACCCACAGCCTTATTCAGAGCTTCATAAACTAGTTGAAGGCTAATTGTTCTCTCTGAGACTCTGATACTACATCCCTATCTTTCTGTTTTTCCTCTTACCTCTTTCTGAATCTGCTCCATGTTTTTTCGAACAATCATATTTATAGCCAAACAACACTATTCTTCCCCAAGACCCTGGATTCCTTTTTCCCACTGGATTCTTTTTGAAGTTCCTATGCCTGAATTCATTTGCTCTATGGCTTGCAGTCATTATCAATGTTGTCCACCAAGACTTTCAAAAAATTCCAAAAAATATCTAAACACAACAAAAGCATTAAAAGAAATCTACCTAGGGGCTGGGGATTTAGCTCAGCGGCATAAGCGCCTGCCTTGCAAACAGGCAGTCGTGAGTTTGATCCCCGGTACTGATAAAAAGGAAAAAGACAAAAAAAAAAAAAAAAAAAAAAAGAAATCTACCTAAAAATCAATATTTACTATGAATGTAAGTATAAATTCCTTAACAACATATTGTCAAATAGATTTAGGAATACAGAAAGCATAACACACCATGATCTCGTGGTAGTTATCCCAGGAATACCCAAGCCTGGTTCATTATTCATTCCTCAACGTAATGCTTCATCACACAATCATAAAATTCATGCAGAAAATTCAAGCAACAAAATTCCATACCTATTCACAATCAAGACACTCAGAAGACTAGAAATAGACTGCTTTTTTCTATGTTAGGTTTTAAAATTCTAAAATATCTTTTGAACATAAATTGGAATTGCAGATTAATAGTGAAAGACTTTTTCTTCTAAGATGAGAAACAAAGAAGGATGTCTGCTCTTACCACTTTTACTATTTAACATCATACTAGTTCTGGCTAACAGGATGTGATAAGAGAAGGAAATGAAAGACATACAGACTGAAAAGGAAAAAATAAAACTGTTTCTATTTATGGATGCAACCTACTTATAAATGACAGTCTATGTGAATCTTAAGGAATCTAAAGGAAAATTGTAGGGCTGGGATGTAACTTGGGGGTAGATCAATTGCCTAGTATGTGTGAGGTCTTGGGTTCAACAGAAACCAAAATTAAAAATATAATGCCATTTATAATATCTCTGGTGCACCCCTGCAATCCCAACACTCAGGAGGCTAAGGCAAGAGGATTGCCATGAGTTCAAGGCTAGCCTGAACTATATAGTGAGACCCTGTCTCAAAAAATTTTTTTAAAAACTCAACTCTCAGGCTGGGGATTTAGCTCAGCGGCATAAGCGCCTGCCTTGCAAGCAGGCAGTCGTGAGTTCGATCCCTGGTACCGATAAAAAGGAAAAAGACAAAAAAAAAAACAAAAAACCTCAACTCTCCAAACATAAAATACATACTTAGGTATACATCTAATAAAATAGTCATGGAATGTACATGGTAAAAATTATAAAACACTGATGAAAGAAATTTAAGACATAGAGATAAAACATGTTTATGGAACAGAAGACCTAGCACAGTAGCAAAATGTTCTAATTGATATACAAGTTTAACACAATTTATATCATAATGTGAGAGCTTTTGTAGAGGTAGAGAAGACTATTCTAAAATTTGTATGGAAGGCAAAGGAACTAATATACTTTAAAAAAAATCACTCCACTCAAGAGAAAGTAATAAAGAATGATTGGTACTGTCTGAAAAACACATAGATCAACATAACAGAACAGAGCAGTCAAAGGTGCTCCAGGCCACAAGTGGTTAGCATAAAGCACTTATATAGAAATACAGCCAAAAATAGTCCCACATAAATAGACCCAAAATTTTTTTTTTGACTCAAATAATTTTTAACAGAAATGTAAAAGCAATTCAGTGGAGGGAGGATAATGTTTCCAATTATGGTGTGAGTCAAAAACATGAACCTCAGCCTTATATAAAAATTAACTTGGTCAGGGATTTAGCTCAGTGGCATAAGCGCCTGCTTGGCAAGCATGAGGTTGTGAGTTTGATCCCCAGTCCATTAAAAAAAAAAAAAAAAGGCTAGAGATGGTCGGCATAAGAAATTGATCTTGAAATCTCTGGTTAAAAATTTAAGATAGATCATAAATTTAAATCTAAAAATGTAAAAGCATAAGACTTTTAGAAAAATATCAAAGAAAGTACTTGGGACATTTGGTGAAAAGTTCTTAGACTTGACACCAAAATGTATGATCTATTTTAAAAAATAGATCTATATTAAAAAATATAGGGAGTGGAGATTTAGCTTGAGGTCATGAGTTTGATCCCTGGTACCAAACAAACAAAAAATATGGTGGCACTGGCAACTGAACTTAGAGGGAACTGAGCTACATTTTCAACTTACTTCCTTTTTAGATAAACTCTCATTAAACTGTACAATCTGGCCTTGAACCGACAGTCCTTATGCTGAGCTCCCTAAGAACAGCTGGGATTACAGGGAGGTGACGCCAGGCATACCAAGTTCACCCAAAAATTTAAACTTTTGCTATAAAAGACTTTGTCTTTATTTATTTATTAGTACATGCTTGTACTAATCATTAGTACATACTAATGATTACATTCTTCCTGGGGAGCTGGTAAAATCACATCTTAGTCATTTTTATTTTTCCTTCCTTCTTTCCTCCCCTCTCTATCCCTAGATTCCCTTCCCATCTATCTTCCTGATTTTTCTAATCTATCTTTAATTTGTTCTTTGAATTATTTACACTTTGGGTTTCTCATATAAAAGAAGCCATAAACTGGTACATGCCTATACTACCAGCACTCAGCAGGTTGAGGCAGGAAGATTGCCTTAAGTTTCAGGGCAACTTGAGCTATACTGTTAAGAGTTCAAGCCCAGTCTGACTTATAGGGTGAGGCCTTGTCTCAAAAAAAAAAAAAAAAATTAAAAGGAACATAAGAATTAGTTTGCATATTACTGCAAAAGCACAGGGAACAATAGCAAAAATAAACAAATTAGACTAATAAAATTTAAAGCTTCTATTCACGAAAGGACATAATAGAGGGAAAAGGCAACAAGTAGAATGGGCAAAAGTATTCACAAGCATATATCTGATAAGGGGTTATTATCTAGAATATATAATGAACTACTACAACTAAACAACAACAACAAATATGATTTAAAAATAGTCAAAGTTAGGTGAGGGATATAGCTTAGTGGTAGAGGTCTTGCCTAGCATGTTCAAGGTCCTAGGTTTGATCCCCAGAACTGCAAACAAATAAGACCAGGCAAAATTCTTGACCAGATTATTTCTCCAAAAAAAGAAAAACAAATGCTGATAAGTACATGAAAAGATTTCACTATTATGGGGCTGGGGATTTAGCTCAGTGGTGTAAGCACCTGCCTGGCAAGTGTGAGGTCATGAGATTGATCCCTGATACAAAAAAACCCCAAAGTTCATTATTACTAATCAACAGTGAACAGCAAATCAAATCCACTATGAAACATCACCTTACACCATTTAGATGTGTACTATTTGAAAAAAAAAACAAACAAACAGAAAATAGCAATATCAATGACTGGGAGAAACTAGAACCCCTGGGCGCTGTTGATAGGAATGTATAGCTACCATGGAAAATGAGTAATGGTGACTCAAATATTAACAAAGAATCACTGTATGATGTAGTAATTCCATTTTTGAGTATAAACCTGAAAGATTTGAAAGCAAGGGCTCAAAGGGCTATTTGTGTACCCATGTTCATAACAGTATTATTCACTGTAGCAAGAAAAGGGAAGAAACCCATATTGACAGCTAACAAAATGTAGAACATACATGGAAAGATTATTACTCATCCCTAAAAAGGCAATCCTGACACATGCTACAGTGTGGATAAACCTTGA